ACATATGAAGTTGAACATGAAAATATTTTGGGGGAGAGTTAATATGCTAAGAATCATCAGATTTAAATTTGTTAGAACAAAAGCTTCAGTGGATTTTGTTGGTCTTGTGACTGAAGAGTCAAAAATGGCCAGTGATCACAGCCCTGAAACATGAACACTTTAATTTTTGGCAGCACCTGCCCTTCCCAAATAAGGGAAGCCATAGCTCTGACAGTGCCCATAAGAGGTAATGATAAACATTACAATCTGAGATTAGCAACCTCTGAGGCTATGGGGATATCAGCACACAGGATAAGGCTCTCAAACTAACCAGAGATCACCTTCAGCCTATAATTGGGAAGAGAAAAATAGCTTATGCTTATGCCAGCCTGGTCTCTGCTTATCCACATTCCAGGCTCCCTGCCCAGATACATCAAGTTACTTTTCTTTCTCAAGAAGGGGCCAACTTATCCCTTCTTCATGTTTTAAGCTGTAGTCCACAAAAATATTAGTATTTCCGTGCATTTTTGCTGTTTACATCATTTTGAGAATGTGAAACAAATTTAAATTAGATTTTTCTATCCACTTTCAGGTCTACTGACATTCAATTCAGTTAGTGTTTTTCAAGGCTCATTTTATGGGTTTGCTGTGTGGGTATGGGTTTTGTTTGTTTTGATTTCTTTTGGGTTCTTTGGTTTGTTTTCTTGTTGTTGTGTGTTTTTTTTCTCAAATCATGAAATAAGGAAATGCTATGGAAAAACTACTTCAAATTTTTAAAAACCCACAATAATCTCTCTTACACAAGTAAGATGCCCTGTGGATAAATCCAAGCTTTCTGATTATCAATCTGTTCTGCATAGTTCAGCCATATTTTTTGGCATAGAGACTACAAGAGCTTTTGTCTGAATGTGCAGAAGCTCAGGTTTCACTCACACTGACCATCACATTCTTTGCAAAACTCTGCTGTTGGTCCTGCCAAAACGGACAAAAGTGTTTAAGATAGAGCAAGCATCTGCTAATACAAACGCAAGATGTAAAAGCATGCTACAATTTCTGCAAAAATACTCAGTTTGGGGAATGATTTTTTCTTGGTATGCTCCTAGCTCTGCTAAAGCTTTTGGATGAGTTGCAGTCTGTAATTCATTCAATAATACATTGCTGGTGCTGCTGTTTTCTTCACAGCCTGTTTTTTTAGTGTAAATTTGCTGTCCACATTCTTTAAAGACTTTGAAATATCTCTCTTCAATCTTTTTCAACTGTACGGCTGTTTTTTATCACAATAATTTATTTGTTATGACTGAAAGTGAATTTTGGATAATCCAAACACATATAAGACATAATGAATTTACTGAATGTTCTGAATGATTTTTCTTAATCACTACAACTTGCTTTTTAATGTGGAAACACTCAGCCAACAAAAAAGTGCATGCCCTTTTGTGAAATGGCATTCACTGCAAAGCTGGTGAAATGAATAGATACAAAAGCATAATGTGCTTGTTTATAAAGCTCACTGTCTTCTAATCAGAATTTGTTTTACTTTTTTCCCAGAAACCTAGGTACAGGAAAGAAAACAATATTTCCCTGAAATTATGAAATTCTAGTCTTTTAGTAGTATGGGTTTACTAAGAATAAAATCATTTGTATGTAGGATTGAACCTCTTCATAACATGGTCTGAGACCTAGGTGGGCAAGAGAGTCTATAAGGACTCGTGTTTGCCTGCCTCTTGCAGGACATGGAGTCGGTTGTGTTTTGAACAGCTGCTCTTCCTGAAGTTACACTCTGATTAAAAGAGATGTTTTCTTGTTAATCCATCCTGTGACGGAAGTGACAGCTAAAAATAAAGAAAAAAATAGCATAGAAAGCAATATGCTGGTCAGTTTTTTGTTAAGAATAGAAAGCAATGCTGTCAAGGGCTGAAAATAATTTCCTCTGTCAGAAATCTAAGAGTCAGGGTGGTTGTGTAATGAGACCAGAAGAGAAAGGACAGATTAGATTGAGGTTGCTGAAGAATCACTTCTTTCAGAAAAAGATGGTCTGATATCTGAAGACTTATTCAAGGAAAATATTTCTCTTGGACCTGGAATTAAATGTTGACATTCAGAAGGTCTATACATCATCAAGTACCTGTGACTCAGAGCTAAAATCCATTATTTGGGTTCATGAATGCTTTTCCTTGATCACTTTCATGAGATAATAAGTGTGTTTAATACATCTAGATTAAGGACTTATTGTGAGCTGGGGTTTATTTATTTGTTTATTATTTGTAGCAACACAGAGAGACAAACCTGAAAAACCAGAAAAAACTGAGAGGAAGGAACCCCCAAAGGGTATGTATTCAGCTTTTGATATTCCTTGCCTTTTTATAAGTGATTCAAAATAGTCTAATCTATTGACTCTTAGACTGTTCTTGTAGATCCCAATAATATTTGAGGATGGAGGAGGTGTTGTAAAATCCAGCTGGAAGGAGAATGAGGTTTTTAAAAACAATTTTAATTACTCACTCTACAGAATAGCTGAAATTACATTCAGATAGTCTTTACTGTACTAATAAGTTAGGTAAAAGTACCTAGAGCACAAATTGGTGTTTATTCTTCTTGAATAAATCCAAGTATTTTACTTGCCCTTGAGAATATTTTCCACCAAAAAGTAATTAGTAAATTATAACAAACTGGAAATGGTCCATGTAGACATTCGGCTTTGGAAATCTGCTTAAAATAAAAAAAGGAAAAAAAAAGGAAAAAAAAGAAAAAAAGAGGAAAACTAAATTCCTCCAGATTAATTTCAGAGACACTGGGGAGAGGTTTTAGAGAGAATTTAATAATTTCCTGGTGGTGTATGCCAACAAAAAATTACAGATCTGTTGTAGGAGTCAGAATCAAGATACTGCTTACTCTCCACGCACAATGGGTGAGATTTATCTCTGGGTTACAATAGCCACTGTCTATTTTACCTCTTGTGAGGATATTTTAGCCAAATGAAATTTTGGTGGAGTGCATCTACTTGTCAAAACACTTAATTCTTCTGAGAACATGTCCTTTGTACTAACCTATGGCTAATGAAGTCTTGGGCTGGAGGAAGAAAAATATTCTGGAAGAGCAAACAGGCCAATGACCATAATAAATTACCAAAACAAGAAAAGGGAAGACCAAATATCCAACCACAGCAGACTTATTCAGGCCAAGAACTCAAGTGAAGGTGAACTTCCTGAGAGCCGTGCTTGACAAGGCCTTTCTAACAGTCTCTGATTGGAGCTTTTCCATTCCATATAAGTAATTCAAAGTGCCTTGAGCTAACAAGACTGATTTTAGAAGTTAATGGCAGGCATATAAGTTGACGTGTCTCTTAGAATGAATATTTATTGGTAGAAACTAGAATGGTGATAACATGGGAAATTTTTTCTGGGGTTTAGAAAAATTACAAAGCAAAAGCAATAATGTCCCATGTTAAAACATGAATTTATCTTTAAGACTTCTGTTATAATGTGGAAAACCTGTGGAATTCTTCAACTTGATTTCACAGGAGAACAATATTTAATGTTTTATTAAGTTTCTTAGAACAAGAAAAAGATTATCCCAGCCAAACTCAGATAGCCAGTGAAAGAAAATGACAATTATACTGCCTTTGCGTGCCATAAATCCTATTAATATTCTGTCTACCTAGTGGTATTTTTTCTTGAAGTGAACTATTTGTTTTATGTAGTGAACTATTGCCAAAACTGCTACAGAAACACTACTGTGTATAGACATTCTCTGTATTCACAGTGCTAATAAACATTACTTTCAGACTGTACATTAAATTTAAAAACTAAGACTATGAATGTGTGTCTTTCTAAGGTCCATTTCATTATATCATTATGTGTGACTGGGAGACCCTAGAGACTGCATCCCTGTATTTTTGCTGCCTATTTTCTACATTAAATACATTGCCTTTTCAAGATTGAGATAATGGAGCGCATAAATAGCATCCTATTCTAATCTATAATCAACTTCTGGGATGAAGTTTAAGAAAGTTATTTAATGATGCAGAGAGTAATTGTAAGTGTCTCAGTCACTTAGCAGTGTCTCAGTCAGAGATGTCAGCCATATTCTCAAGTATTTCATCACTATATTGCTTAAAAATGTGGAAGCCTGAATATTGCCTATCACTCTTTTTTACATCCAGTTACACATGGAATTCATGGTACGGTAAAAAAAGTTTTTTATCTCCTCATGTTAGACAAAAGGAGTTTTACTAAACTTGGATGAAATCTCCACAGGAGTTAGACTTAAGCTACGCTTGCATTTTCACAGCTGTTCTTTCAGAAGTGCTCTAAAACCCACTCACTTATTTTTCATTTACTGGAACATTACAGTGCAATTGTAAAATCCTAAGAAAAGTGAGTGGAAAATGTTCTGTGAAAGAGTGGATAGCATAATGCAGTTTCCACTGTCATAATGTTAGTTTTGCTTTGCACACACTGGGTATCTAATTATGGTTCTGGGATCGTCATTGCCAGGGACTGATCTCAGCTAGTGTCCATGTCTGTATCCATTACTAACCATCCATATCCCTTACTGGTTATCCATTTCAAGCCAGCTGGCAAGTCACAGTTGTATCATTTGCACATGTGATTCTCTCCTGCTCCGAGATTGATTCCGGGGTTTTTACAACCTGTGTCTGTCTGAGTATGCGGTGGCCAAGGTGCAGCCCTCTCCCTACCACAGGCAGTAGCATTTACTGTGAGCTGTGCCTTAGTAACCAACAATTTTCTGGAATTCTTCTGGAATTGACAGACAATTGCAAGAGATGATATGCAGCAAACAGCTGAGGCATGTTACCATGGCAGTAACTCGTTAGCCAGAGCTGGCTGCTCACACCCTGTAGTATGATGTACACTGTAAAAATATGCACGGGGCAGCTCAGCAGTAACACACTCTGCCACTTAGTATCCCAAGGCATCCTTGGTGAAATTGTTTTAAAATCTTAATTTTTCCCACTTTTTCTTTTTGGGTATATGTATAACACTTTTTTTCTTTCTTAGTGACAAGTAAAGACAAACTGGAAAGACTAGAAAAACCTGAAAAAAAGGAAAGGCATGCAGGTAACTATTTAATGTCAGAATTTATTTTACATCAGGAGGTACCCTAAAGCTTATTCTCTACTCAATTTCCATTTATGTATTCCTTCGATTGCAGAAAAAAAGAGTTATGAAATATTATGAATAAAAATAATGAAATCATAACAAATTTGCAGTCTTACACAATAAGTAGCATTTAATATTCCTCCTGCATGTTTTTTGTTTGTTTGTTTTTTTCCTGGGGAAGGAAGATAATATATTTTGCACTCTGGATTAGTGTAATCTTATGATAATCACTGGGTATTTCCAACACTTGCAATAAGAATGGTTGCTAAGAGACTATGGTCACCCAAGAAAAAGGCACCTGACAGCCCTTTCACAGAGGTAATCAGGAAGGCCATGTGTGAAAAAATGCATTTTAAATAAAATATGCATAGAGCCACTGAATAGCCACTGAGTATGCCAGGACAAGTTCTTTCAGTAGTTACTTGCAGTAAATAGATATCTAGCACGGTTTTATCTTCCCCAGTACTTACTTTCTTTTTAAACACCAGCTCCATGCTCATGCATACATTTCTGTGTTCCCAGGATAATCTCATACCTTGTACTCAAATAGGGAACTCTGTGTTTTCACACACATGATCCCTGTAGGTCACCTCAGGGCACATCAGCCCATGCATATATCAGTTCTGCACATCCATGGACAAGTTACTGTGCACACATTAATCCCAAAAAATTAGTAAATCAGAGCCCACACAGGAGAATATTTCAGATTACCCACTACTCAGTGACTACCGCATAACTCGGGTGTATTCTGAAACCTGAGCCAGAAATCTAGGAGCTACAGAGCTGTTAATTTCAATTTGTAAGGTGGAAATTAAAAGCAAACAGAAAGCCCCAAAGAACATTAGTTATAATGTCACTGCAATTAGATTTGTAATTAATTATAGTGCTTAATCATTCATAGCTGGAAAAACTGTTAGTTGCTCTGTGGAGTTCAGAAATCCTTCAGAAACTATCCAAAGTAATAAACAAGAAAGCTAAAAAATAACAATAAACCAAAATAAACCAATAAAATACAGGATATAAATATATTAAAAAAGAAAAAAAACCAATATAAATAAGTATGACTCTTGACTATCTTCTTTCATGGGATTACTGGAGCTAGAAAGGCTGCTGCTCCTCCAGCCAATGGCAAAGACCTCAGCGATGGCAGATGAGATTTTGAAAGTTCCAGTTCCATGTTTTGGCATCAACAACAAACAGCAGCAGCTGAATCAATCTTTCTCATTTTTTGCATGCATGACCATGGTGCCTACTTGTGTTACTTGATCCTTTTTCTCATTCAAATGCAACTTTTTTTTTTAATGACCATTAAGATTATTGGTTTTATTTCTAGCTGTTCACAAAGAGAAATCTGAAAAGCCAGAAAAACAAGAAAAGAAAGCACCGTCTAAAGGTATTGATGATCATTATTAAAAGTTGTACAATTTAAGTGTTTGAAATCTTGGGAGAGTGTGGAGATAAGTATTTAAAATACAAAGCTCTTCTAGTTCATGTTGAACACTTTTTGGGTGTTGTCTCTTTTGCTTAAGCAGGTCTTGATCAGCCCGAGTGAAGTCTTGCTCAGCATATTTCTTTTTGCTTTACTCTCCTGTTTTGATGCACAGAGTTTATTACAAATCATCCTTACACAGCTAAAGAACGAAACCTATGACTATTTTCTTTGCATTCCCTGATGCCTTTTTTCTCCACAAAGAGATTCAGTAATTTGCCTGCAAAGAAGTTTTTCTCTTGTGTATTAGTTTTCAACTGGATGCAGACTAATGCAAGAGTATTTACTATCTCTCAATCTGGGTCTTCCATCATATCCAAAAATAGAATTTCATTTTCTTGCCTTTATTTTTTTTCAATAACATTTTAATTTTAGTATATGATTTGCATTGTCTTCTATGGCAGCAGTGGCTTTGGTTAAGATTTACACATCTAATAATTATCATATATATTATGAAGCAATATTGTGGGTGTGTGAGGGGTGATTTTCACTATTCTTTTGACTGATAATTCCATCTTTGGCTATGGTTTGGGCAGGGAAATTTAAAAATCCAATCACCTTGCCCTATTATGCCATTTTTTAAAGACTAACATTTATTATTGCTTGGCATTTGAATGTTTTTCTCTGAGGTTAGATTTTTCTCCATGGCAGATATTTCTATAATGAAGTTCATTTTCAGTCTCTGTCTCTTTTTATTTTACTTAGTTGACTCTTGAAGAAATCGTATACAACCAAATTCATATCAGTTTGTTATGGCATTGAGATTAATCCCATGATGTTGAGATGCATGAATTAACTAGGTTTAATTTGAATATGTTCAGACAATATAGGTACAAATGTACAAATCACTCTTTTTTTAATTGATCATAGTCTAAGGAGAAATGTAAAACAGAAATTAAAAGTGAAGAAAGAAAGAAAGCAGAATGAAGACTAAAAGCCTTAAAAAAACTTTGAAGGGTAGCCATCGTCCAGTCTCTCTTTTACAGGGATATTGTTCATTTTTTTCTACTTTCAGTGTATGACTTGAAAGTGTGGGATTTTTTTTTCATAAAATGAAATCATGCTAAAGTAAGCCAGAGAAAATAAATGCCCATAGTGTCTGTGTTGGTTTGGAAAGCAAATAACTTCCAAGAATCACTGAGATAGTCCTAATAAGCAGCCAGCCTCTTTACCCATTTATCTTCTGCTTGCTAACCAAATAATCACTCAGAGCCTTAATGTGTTTAATAGCAGCCATGACTCCAGTCACTGGCTGGAAAATTTTATGAAGGATTTGGACACAGTAGCTGCAGATCTTTGTGGCTGCAGAGTGAAATAGCCACGCTGCCCTCTCTTGGGTAGTTTCCCTGCCATGAGCCCCTATGGCATCAGGGCATGGGGTCAGTTTTCCTCAGCATGTCCAAAGGTGCATTTCTGCCAGCACTGTGTTGCTGAGTTTTCCATTGCCAGGCCCACCTCCCTTTTCTCAGGGATCTGCTCTAAACTGGATTAGCTACCAGCAGTGCTGAGGGGCTGCTTCAAACCACTTGCAGTCCCTAGGAAATGAAAATGTTCAGGTTCTAGCCAGCTCTGGGGAATGGGCATACTGAGAGCTGTGTGGCTACTTCCCACACAGTCAGCAGGTTTTCTTTATGCTCATTACAAAGACTCAAGGTAATTCTTGAGACTCTGGTAAAGGCTCCAGAAAGCCTCAGTGATATGAGTGGTTTTTAAACACATCACCTAAAAATGTCTTAAAAAAAATAAAACCAAGTCTAAATATCAATCATGTCTTGTACAGGCTGGAGTTCTAGGATGGAATTCAGTTAGAGAGGATTGTTATTATTTAGTTATCAGTTGAAAGAAGTGTAATTAACTCTCAAGGCTGGCTTGTTCTTGTATTGTGTCTGGATGGTGACCAGGAGGGCAAAGATAGAGGTCTGCATAAAATTTTAGCAGCCTTTCTGGAACACAGTCATATGTGTGTGTGTGTGTGTGTTTACACAGTGTATCTTATGCAGACATGAACTCACTCAAGCTGGGCTCTGAAGTGAACACCAGACTTATGGCTGTGTTTGTTGACAATGAGCCCAAGCTAAGAAAAACACCTTTGTGAAAGACAAATACAGCTACATGGGTTCCTGTTGGCTGTAGCACAAGGCCAATTCCATGTCTGCTCAGCACCTGACATGAGCAAGTTTGTTTCATCTGGACTATGTAGTAAAAACATTCCCTAGGAAGCTTCAGATCTGTGTGACTCACTTTTCTTCTTGTAAAGGAGCCTCAACAGATATTTTTAAGTTTTTTACCCCACTATATGAATCTGAAAACAATTTCAAAAACTGGAAAACAGGAATTGTAAGGAAATGTGAAATTTCCAGTGATGATGTGTTTTGGCAATATTTTCTTGTTCTTTGTGAGATTTTTCCCTAATACACAGTTGTTCTCATTTCTAGTAACTCAAAAAGATGCACCTGAAAGACATGAAAAAACTGAAAAGAAACCTCCTCCCAAAGGTATTTATTTATCTATACTACAGGTTTTTAAGCTGAATTGACATTGAAATGCATAAACTTTATTTTATTCAAGCAGAGATTGTAAATGTGTGTGAGAAATCAGCTACATGAAACTAAAATGAAGTGAATATATAATCAGAATTAAAATGTTTGTAGAACATCCAGGATTTAATTCTATGATTGATCCCTTTCAAAATCTGTTGCAATTTCAAATTGAGAATAAAAGTATGAGCCACCATTTCACTGAAAAACAATAAGCCTACCTGCGAGTGCTCTGATATACATTTTCACTATAACTAGTTAAGGAAATTAATTCTCCATTATCCAGCAATACCTGGTTTTGTCTGGGAGTAGTAACATTCTTATATAAATATCTGAATTCTGGTTTGCAATACTTAGATATTCCAGTTTACATATTGATAAAATCAATTTAGTTATCTCAGTGATTTAACAGAAATGGAGGTCTAGAGCCTAACAGAAAGCATAAATTTGGTAGCATACAAGTTTTGCCTCAAGGATGGAGACATTTAGAACTATGAAGAAAACAGGTTTATGAACTTTGCACTAAACAGGTTAATTTAAAACATATCCAGTGGTAGTTTATACTAATACTATTGGATTTTCCACTGGGGTGAACTAGAAACACATACTGGGAGCATGCATGTCTCAGGTGAGAAAAAGTTGCTGACACACAAAAGCAGAAAGAATGCTTTGGGTCTCACCAAGCTCTGTGTAGCTTCAGCTACTGATACTTACAGTATCAATGGTAATTCTCCTTGGAAGCCTCCTCACTCTGCTGAAGGGCATCTCATGAATTGGTCTCAGACACTCTCAGCCCTGAGAACTGGTGTAGAGTCAGACTCAAAAACTCAAAACTTCTTGGACTGAGACCTAGAATCAATTCATGAAAGCAACCCTTAAAAATAACCACACACTATTTTTCCAGCATACAACAGAGTTTAACTCTGAAGTCTAAACTTGCACATATAAACCTCCCATATTTGTTTGCTTAATGACCAATATCTTTCTCCCTAGTTTATACCATAAAAATGATCTTGTTAGAAACACTTAATATTATTTGGCATATTTTATCACATTTAGCATCAGCCAAGTTCATGGTATAGCACTGAAATAAAGCTTCTTTGGATCTCATATTTCTGTTTAATTCTGCCTAGTTTGAGGGGATTATAGTTTTCATCAGATCTTACCAAGCTGTTAATATTGAAGAAATGCTCATTATTAATAGCACAATATAAAGTAAGTGGCACTGAATGTTATGTTGGGGGCAGAGAGTGACACTGAAAGCTTTTTCTTTATTGTCTGCAGAGGAGAAGAAAGTAAAGGGCACTAAAGTGGAAGCAAAAGTCAAAAAGGAAGTGAAGGATGGAAAAGGAGAAGCAAAGACGGCAGAGAAGGTCAAGCAAGCAGAGACGAAAACAACAGAAACTGGGCTAATAAAGGCCAAAACAAAAGTTAAGGAGGAGAAAGCTCTTCAGACTGTAACTAAATCGGACAAGAAAGGTAAACAAAATGAGGAGGAAACAGATGAAGATCCTAAAAAGGTAGTAGGGAAGAAAGAGAGAGAATGGAGTTAGATGTGTCAAGGACCAAAGTGCACCCATGAAAAACAAAAGCACAGTACAAATAAATTCCACATGAACCTCACACTGCTAGGACATGATTACAGAAAATAAAATAAGTTTAATGTATATAATCAGAAGGTTCTAGGAGGTTTTCATGGCTAAAGTTTCATTTTCATTTAAATCCTTCTTTATCAAGGACCAATTTCTCTTCAGATAGGTCTGAGACTTTGTGGATTTGCTCAGTAGCATCTAATGTAGTAGATTGCAAGCAGAGGTATTTTTGAAAATTCAGACTGTCCAATAACCTATTGGGAATTTAGGTTTGTTTCTACATCTGCCTATGCCCTCTGTAACCATAATGAAAGCAGCAACAGTGTAAAAGGAATGTTATAATTTATCTATCATATTGTACAAGGCAGGTTGTCAGATGTTGTGCAACATAGTGACATCCCAGCCCCATATAACTTAATGTGAACAGCTTCCAAATTTCTTCCAAAAAGGAAAGAAATGCTGTTGCTCTAGTGTAAGGAAGAAATTAAGTGATGAAACAAAGAATCAACATGGATCAACACCATATAGTCAACAAGGTGTTAACTATGTGCTCCACTTTGTCAGAGTAAGCCTGCATTCTTCTACTCCCAGGTTGCACAGACTGCTTCCCTGATTTCCCTGTGGCATTTCCATGGCACTGAGTACAATTTTGTATGAATGAAGGCAGCAGGACCTGGCTTTCTGTATGAAGTGCCACACTGCAGCCACGGGATTATTCTGACAGTGAAAGAGGCAGCTCAGTGATGCATAGAGCACCTATCTGATCCTTTCAGCTGTTAACCACAGATAAATTGCTGTGCCTGAACATCAAAGAAGCTGTCCCTGCCTGGATATCTGAGTCTGCCTGATCAGATTCTCTCAGAATTTCATAACCATTGCTCTGGACCCCTTAGGAGCTGCCTAAATTATACTTTTCTAGAAAACTGAGAGAGTTTGAGACATAGCCCACTTTCTGACATACATAGTTTGCTGAACTAGTATTTTTTAACATTTATTTGTATTCCAGTTAATTTTGTCCTTCACTTGAAATATTGGGACCTTTGAGGCATGGAATCAAAGCAGCATCTATCACACTGATTGCTGTGACCAAGGAAAAAAGTTCAGCAAATTGTTCAGTTCACTTGGGAGGTGAAAATCTCTTTCAATTTTTTGTTTGCTTTGGAAGAGTTTCAGTGCACAGTGAGGTCTGCTCCATACTGTTCAGGATAAAGCTCTCAAAAAGAAGTGCTGTGCAGATAACAACAAAATATTTTAGGTAGGGATCAAAGATTACAGAGACCAATAGAATAGTGGTGGTTTTTTGGTTTTGTTTTTTTGGTTTTTTGGGTTTTTTTTGGTTTTTTTTTTTTTTTTTTTGGGTGTTTTTTTTGGGTTTTTTTTTTTTTATTTTTTTTTTTGTGGGATTCCCAACAACTTCAGCTGATAAATATTAGCAAAATGATCCATCTTGACATCAAATATTTACAGATCATTTTGCAAGTCTGCTTTAGAGTGTGACCCAGTGACTGTGCATGGAATCCCAGCAGGTGAAAATGAGAATAAGCAGATGGAGTGGAGGAAGGAAGGAGCCTCTTCAACTGCCTTTATCACTGGAGACAGGGCTATGCACATCTAGTGGAATCTGTATATCCTACTCTCATGCTTCCTTTTCCCACCAAAAACCACTGGTGCCCTGCTGGATGCTCTAAAAAAATTCATCTTTATATTTCAGTCCCACTGTGACCCAAGGTGAACATAATCAATGCAGTTTTTCAGAGATTTAAAATTAATGCCGTTTTTCAGAGATTTAAAATCAATGCAGTTTCACAGAGATTTCCTGATCCTGCAATCTTTGCTTGCTCAAGGGAGTAGTTCTGCAAGCTTATCTGAAACTGTAAAATATACAGCAGTGATGACATAAGAGTTTTTGCATCATTTCATACTAAAATTAAAATTTAAAAAGAGAGGTAATCTTCCTGGGTAAATCACATTAAGCCCAATGACAAAATCATCTATGAGTATTTTTATCATCTATCATAAGAATCTAGTCCCAAATTTTGACATGATCTTTTAGTACTTATATGAATATTTGTGTCATCATTACAGAGTTGTAGGTGAAAACTAAAGTGTGAAATTCCCCTTTTAATAAAGGACTTTAGATTAAAATGGATTTTTAGCCATGAAGAGGCACTTGAAAAATCATATTCATTTAAAATTCCTTAGATTTCAATCTTTACTGATTGGTAGCATTCCTATAAACTTAAATAGGATGTTATAGTGCACCTTGTTGTGCCATATGGAAGTTATATTTTTGTTATTGAGAGTTTTACATTCTGCCTCCAATTTCTTTTTTAAATCCAATTTTTTAAGTAGAGTTGTTAAAGATATAATATGAGGAGAAATTAATATAAAATCTTATTTCTGAGGTACAATCAAGATTAATCCTCTTTTTAAAAGTTTATTCAAATTACATTTCCACAAAACAAAATAAACCCAGAAAAAAGCCCCCACAACAACAACAAAAAACAGATAAACAAAATCAACAACACAGTCTGGTTTATTTCTGGTCCATACTACTAAGTTTAAAGAATAGATTATTTTAATATCAATGAAATGGTGTGATTCTAGGGCCTTAGGCTATGTCTCTATCACAACTCAAACAGAACCAGCACAGGCTTGTTCTCTGCCCTGGGACTGTCCATAGTGTGCTGTCCCCTGCCATAGTTTTGTTCTGTATTCCCTTGCAGTCTTTTGTACAATGGCCCAGATGGTGCAGGAAATCTTCCCAACAGGCAGCAAGGATAGGGGCAGCATGTTTTGGCAAAAGTGAACTAAGAGAAACAGGGTTTTGTGCAAGAGCTGTGCCCTGCCATTTGCTTTCTGGGCTAAAGTGTTGGCAATGCTCCACTTTATTTATAAATACTCACTGAGACCCTATTGCAACTGTGTCAAAGTCAGTGCAAACACTTTGCTGGTTTCAGTAGCTTTTGGTGGGCTTAAGAAAAAAGCTCTGTATGTGTTTTCTCACACACACACTGTTTTTGGGGTTTTTTTTTTTAGAATTATCATATAGACTTAGGGCAGATACTGTAGCCTTAAGGAAGGAATGCAAAGTTGGAGTCAGCCAGAATGATAAATTTGAATTCCCAAATATGAAAGTAAAAATTATTATGAATATTCATTAGAGGTTTTAAAGGCAATGTTTACAGCCACAGCCCTGAGTACATGCTGAAAGTTTTGCCCCAGGCTCTACAATCCTTACTAGTATGGCCCTTGCCATCTCACTAACACAAAACAGCTGGCTAGGCTTCTATCAACTAGAAAAAATGTTTGGATATTTGTTAAGTTGGTAAACCTTTTCCTAATTTCTACATCTGCATAGGAAATAATGACTTGAAAGCAGTAGCTCATCATCCAAGGACTGCTGGATCAGTCAACATAACAAAGCAGCAGTCACACAAATGCCTCAGCAGCAAGTGACACTGATGTAGCAGTGACCTATACATGAAAGTCAATGATGTAACAAGTGTCACATACTTGGCAATTACAGTTTGAATTTAAATGTAACAGCAATGCTGTTTTAAACACTTTAATTATTCCAAAGGCAGCATAATTTTATTTTGGAGTTGGCAATGGGGAGAGAAAGTGGCTTTGTGAGTAGGACAGAGATGCCACAGGAGGGGGAGAGAGGAAGAGATGTAACTTCTACAGTGCAGGAACTGTGCTAGAAGAGTCTTGGACATGGGGATGAATATGCTTCACTCAAGGAAAACTGAGAACTGACTTAGCTAACCATACCTGGCATTTAGACATCAACATTAGCTTTCAAAGCAAATGCCCATTAGAGTCCACTGGGGCAACAAGATTTTTTTTCTGGCCTGCTGAAGAATACAGCAATATTGAAGTTATTTTGTGTTCAGTAAAAGCTGATAACTTTTCCTCACCATTCCTAATGTTAGAAATTTTTATTAAGCTCTTCAGCTCTGCTTATGTATAGAAGAAATCAGAATCGACACTTCTGAAATCAGCATTTTATTTAGATTCAGAAGCCTTTATTTTTAAAAAATGTATATATATGTATGTGTATATATATATATATATACAAATTTAATAGATACATTATACAAATTTAATATATAAATATTTATTTTTAAAGATTAGCGTTTGGAAAATGATTCTGTACTGAAACAGTAGAATTCTGTGGAAAATCTTGTTGCTATAGTAGTGTAAGTACACAGAGTTCTCTTTATTTTCCCATTCACAAAATATACATATTTATTATACGGGTAAAAACATATCAACAAAATACAGTGATACAAAACCTTTCTCTAAATTTCCTATCAGCTGTCTGTGAAATTGATCTTCATGGATGATGAAAAGTCATGATGAGACCTGTGGCAAGGCAGCACTGTGCTTGTTTGCCTTGTACTTGTGCGTGGGGTTAGGATATATGCCAAGCAAAGCTGGCCCAGCAAAAGAGGTGGTAGGTCTGGGACACTGGAAGCTCTGCACTTCTTGGCTAGAGGTTTTGAATTAGATCTGGACAACAAATTGTCACTTTCTAAACACATGAACCACTTGAAGGTCAGGAAAAAACCAGAAATATATAAGTAAGACCACCTATGAAAAGGCTACTGAGATGACTTCGCACTGCCAAACTTTATCTTCACTGTTAAATACAAATGACATTCTAAATTCACTTTCTTCATTACTCTTCTTTTCCTTTTTGCTCTGTTAGATCAATATGCATTCTGTCGCTATGTGATTGACATGTTTGCACAAGGGGATTTTTATCCAGGTACTTTCCTATATCATTGAACTCTGTTCTAATACTCTGTTTCCCTGCAAGTTTTTGCTCCTTTATGTATTAAAAGTGTGGTTTTTTATTATTGAAAGGTCTCACAAGAGCAACAAAGAGTGTGCAAATAGTTTTAATAAAGCATAAGAGCTAATGGCTGTTTTCTTAAAGCTTCTAATTTTCT